GACAGGTGAGATCAATGTTGTGATCACTTGGTTCATCTGTGAAGCGTACGATCACACCAGTGTGATTTGAACATTTACTTTTACGTTCGCGCCGCCACTGACCTAAAGAGAGCAGCTGTCTGTCATAAATGAAACAGCTTCACAGTCTTTTCAGCCACACAGTATCATAATTTTTTGTTACAAACATTCAAATCACAGAAGTACTGGGATAAAAGTTTATAGTTCAGATATAAACTGTGTGTACGATGTGTACGGTAGCGATTAAAATATAGTAAACCTTTTGAAAGTAATTTGACACTTCAAATGAAGATTTATTGATTACATTGTTACGCCAGTAGGTGGCGAAAAGGGGCTGTTAAAATGTATTTGTCTTTGAATCAGACAAGAGGTTCGTTCAAGAACGCTGATTCATCCAGTAATGAAACAAGTACATCTTGAGTGAGTCAATTAATCATTAATTCATAAATTATTTTATAATTCATGATTTATTTTAGTTGTCTAATGTTTTTTCTTCAGAATCATGAGAGAACCACAACTTCCATTGGGGGAAAACAAGAAAGAAAATTTATCCAATTTATCCAGAATCATGTAGTTCTATTTTGCACACAAACAGCTCTTAAAGTGTCCAGTTTTTATGTAGCCTGTTGATTTTTGTTCATGGTATTCAGCTCCAATAAATGGTTTGCAAAAAAGAGACACAGGATAAATGTTTGATATCCTTATTTACTCACATTGGAATCGAAACTGGGAATCGAAAAAGAATCGGAATCGATAAGCAGAATCGGAATCAGAATCGGAATTGATAAAATTCAAACGATACCCAACCCTATTCCAGAGACAAGAGTATAAACGTTAAACCCACACATTAAAATGGAATATACCTAACCTCTTCTCTATACATCTCCGATTGTGAGGTGCACGGTGTTTGCATTTTTAATATCATAGATTTCAGTAATATACATTTCAATAACTCATTTAATGCAATTTTCCACCCATTTGACGGCCCAATTATCATACAAAGAAACTGGATTTCCAGATGATTGAAAGCCCAGTAGCCAAAAAAGCAAGCAGATGCTTTTTCCACTGCAAATAGTGCACATAATGCTCTCACTGACTCTCGCTGAAGCATACAGGTGGCACCTAAACCTACTTATTTAGACGCTTCTGCCAAATATACGCTGACTTTTGCTCCACTGAAATCAATGGTACGCGTATCTACCATCAACTCCCAGTGAATTTGCAGTCATAGAAGTGAATGGCATAAATAAATTTTTTATCAAGTTAACTTAAAGAAATATTTTTCACAAAAATGAAAATTCTGCCATTATTTAATCAACCTGTTGTCATAAAGCCATCACTTAAGTCAAACCTGAATGAACATGTGAATGAGATTTCAGAGTTTCAGAGAAATATTTTATTTTCTTTCACAAAGCTATTATACACTTTAGAAGTCATATTGACTATTTTACGGTGATTTTTGTACTTTTAGTTAGGGCTGTGCGATTAATCGAAATCGCGATTTGAGACGTTGCAATTTCCTAATCGCAAAGCACTGCGATGTGGACGCGATATTACTCTGTTCCAGAGCATATGCATGACTGCCAGCCTTGAGTTGCAGTCTTACTAACCGCAAGAGTGAGCGCACCTCCGTTCTCCCCAATCAGCACTGCTCTAGCCAACTGCGTAAACACCCACCATTAAAAAAAACCCAAAAAAAACCGGACCGCGGGACGGGAGAGAGACAGAGTGGGATTACTGGGTCAGATCGATAGATAGGCAAATTAAAACTAAAGAAAACCTTATGCAACTTAAGCTTCGAAATGACAGACAACGAACAAATAAGGTAATTTGCAAGAGCTGCGTCACAGCGCATATCAAAAGCTCCCTTATCGGTTCTGTTTTCAGTACTGGAGAATAAAAGATACATTCTTAGATGTTTTTGTTAGTACGTGAACGTTATCTTACACATTTTATCTCCCCAACAGATTAATTTGAAATAAGTTTATAATGCATGTTGGCTATTCCCAATTCAGAAGAGCGCACACACAGCCTGTGTCTGTGAATGCTTCTCATACTCGCTCCTCTCTGCCCCACGCGGCGCGAATCCCGCGTCACGGACGAGCCGTTAATGCTGGCTGCACTCACGCAGCCTGTCTCGTAATGCTCGTTTATACTCACACCTGGCTCCGCACCGCAAGTCTTCACGAGCGCATCTGGCAGTATGGATGAGGCTTGACGCACGCGCGTAACCTGTGTCGACTCGCGCCTGGCTCCGCGTTTAAAACGAATGTAAATTCAGTCTAACTGCTTGCTAATTTCACTTGGATGAAATGAAACATTCAGCACATTTTCCACTTGCTCTTAACATCCCAAATACTTAAAATGAATAAATCAATGTAATACTTTAATAATTGACTTAAGAAATACAGTTCTTTATTTATAAAAAATAAACAAATATTTTCTGTGAAATTCAGTAATTAAGTTAATTCTGTAAAAGTAGTTATACCATTATAATCTTGCCTGCTGAAAAAAACTAAACAATAGAACCCCTCCCAAAACACAATAAAAATTTTTTATGGATTTCAGGGTTATAATGGGAATTTGTTTGGTTTTAATGTAAACTATAATGGTGTCTATTTGATGGATTCTATTGGTGGGATGTAATCTGGCAGATGGCAACCAATAGAACAACAGTAATTCATTTTGGAATAATGCCCAAAACAAAAAGGAATTTTGTAATGGTTTAATGGAAACTATACGAATTTCTGTGATGGTTTCTATTGTTTTTTTCAGCAGGGTAATGATACCCATACTGTGCTGCACATTATTGACAATACTGAGCTGAAGCTTGACTTTGCAAATTTAAAATCGCAAATCAAATCGCAATCGCAATATCTGTCCAAAAAAATCGCAATTTGATATTTTCCCCCAAATCGCACAGCCCTACTTTTAGTGTATGACAGCGGTCACTTTGAACTATCATTCTATGGGAATTCTCTCTTTTTTTTGTCGAAAGATTCTTTTTGGAACATGAGGGTGAAGTAAATATTGATAAATGTGTTCATTTTTTTCTGTCATCATTTATGTTGTTTCAAACCTGTATAATTTTTTTTCCTCTGTAGAACACAAAAGAACATATTTTGAAGAATACTTAAGTCCAAACAACACCGGACCCCACTGACTTCACTGTTTGAACAAACAAACAAAATATTCGTCTTGTTCGCAGTAGAAAGCACGTAAAAAGAGTTTGAAAGGACATGAAAATGTATAAATTATGACAGAATTTTCATTATTGATTATCTTTAGCTAACTAAGACTTGTTATAGCACTTGCATATCGTTGCTCTTTTGTTGATTTTGATTGCTTCCATTGTCCTCATTTGTAAGTCGCTTTGGATAAAAGCATCTGCTAAATGACTAAATGTAAATGTAAATGTAAACTATCCCTTGAAGCAATCATTTGTTCTGAGCCCTGCTGATGTGTTGTGTGCCTTCAGCACTGCAGTTCAGCACATAAGACACTTTAAATATGACTGCTAACTACACCTAAAATAATTTGTAAATAAAAACACTTTGACTGAGGGTTCTCAAAACTCTAGTGCAATGGGGCTACAGTGAACTCTTCTATAGTTCTCAGTACAAGCCACATGTTTCTACCTAGAACGCTTTGTAAGGAACCTTTGCCTTGTTTGGAATGCTGTTTGACTAAAACTGAATTTGACCAAGGTGTACTTCAGATTATTACATAACAGAGACACACGTACACAAAAAAATCTAACAACCCCGCAACCCCCCACTCCCTCTCTCTCCCTCTCTGTCAGTGTCTCCCCCACTCATAGACACACAAATAAATACGAACATATTTGTACCACTAACCCAGCTATCTATCTTCAGTGGTCATCCAGCAGTTCACAGTTTGTCTATTTTTGCACCATCCAATCATCAAAGTCATCGCTTATTTAAAATGTTCAATATTTTGAAAAGAAAAGCCACCTTAAAGTACAGCTAGTTGTCAAGCAGACTACCACAACCATCACAAAAGATTAATATGGTGAACTGTACATGTAAGTAAAAACAATTCTTACTCAAATGAGTAAAGTGTACCCTAAATACTTTGTTGTTGTGGTATTCACAAACCACTTTTTTGCCTAAATGTGGCCTCGTTGTAAGATTCATGTTCAGAAGATTTATTGTGTGTGATATCAGGTCAAGACCAGTATAAAGTCCCTCACACTTTGTCTCATTATTTGGGTCTCTGTGTGTCAGTTTCATGTTCTGGCTGGTGTCTTAAACCATATTTTTCGCAAAGATCAAGTGGTTTTGCATCCAACTCACACCCCAAAGATTCAATGGTTAAACAAACAACTAAGCTCAAATTCCTTTCAGGAAAAAAAACACACACACTCCGTATACACTAAAACACAGCCTTGGAAAAAATACTCATTTAACTATGGTTCAGATTGAAGCACCAAGCGTTCACTCAGGTTCTTTAGACAAATGCAGAGACACGCAACTGTTTTTCTCCATATACAGTCGTGGCCAAAAGTATTGGCAGTGACATAAATTTTGTGTTTTGCAAAATTTGCTACTTAAGCTGTTGTGTTCATTCACATTGTTTCTACAAGTTTTGGCAGTGACATAAGAAACAATGTGAATGAACACCACAACAGCTTAAGCAGCAAATTTTGCAAAACACAAAATTTATGTCAAAACGTTTGGCCATGACTGTAGTCTTAATTTAAGATAAAGTTTGCTTTCAGCTTGCATATTTTCTTATTAATGGTCTGCTTTTGTTCCAGCCGGTGCAGGTCTAATTGAAACCAGTTTTTTTAAAACAGCCATCCCACTTTTCATTCAAGTCAAATTACATTTATTTATAATTAAAGAGAACATTGTAAAACCACATATGTTGACAAAGTGAGATATCAAAACAACCAAATATAGTAAAAGATATAAATGCTTAAACTGTTAGTCTATGCAATGCAATTTAACTAATGCCCGTCAATGAAAATGCACAGCATGACAGTTGGACCTGCATGTCGGTGTGTGAATCAAAATGTTCCCTTTCCATGTATAGCTTGTGGGTGATTAAATGTGTGAATGACTCGAGAACAAAAACGAGAATAGAGAAGTTCAAGGCTAAGAGCTTTGAAGTGCATGGTGTCTTTGCGCTCGGACACAACTGTGTGGGGTTGCCTTGATGGCAGTATCCCTGGAACCCAGCTACCCTGAGGGAGGAGAGTGTTAATGTGTACAGCTGCCTCTGTGTACTGGTTTACTTGGCTGCAGACATAAAGAGAGGAACTTCAAACAAATTAAGGCTTCCTTCAGGAATTACAATTTAATTTAATTCCTACCTAATAAAATGGTCCTGAAGCAACTGAACCCAATCCATTAAAAGAAAACCAATAAAGAACATTCCTATACAGAACTGAAACTGAACACGAAACCAGGGGTCATGCGAAAGTACTGGGGTCTTATAAAACAATGCCTTTTATTCAAAATATTTCACAAAGTTTCTGACTATTTGAATGGACATATTTGAACTAATCACTTAATGAGCATTATGTAATCTATTTTTTCATATTTTAATAAAAGTGTTTATAAAATGTTAAGAAGAAAATTTTGCTTTTTTATTCTGGGGGTCCCTGGGGCAGCTAAGAATCTGAATAAAAGGTCCCACGGTCTGTAAAGGTTGGAAATCTCCTTAAAAAAAAAACTCAATTATGCACTCCAAATGAGTGCATATGGTCATGTGCATTGTTTCTTGCTAATTTCGGTTAGGCATTAATTAATCATATTAAAATAAATATAGACTGTAAACAAACATTTCTACAAGCCGGACAAACTTTTTCACTGTCCTCCGTACAGTCGCATTTCGGGGTACAAAGACAGGCGTGTTATTTTAACGCGCGCCATTTTAATCAACTTTATCAACGTAACGAATTGGTTGTAACGCACAAAATTTGTGTGGAAAAAAAAAAACACAGCAGTGCTCCCTCTTACCTGCCATCCGTAAATGATGTTACATCCAGCCAGTTGCCCATCTCGTTTTTCAAGCAGGGCATGTTAGGGTAAGGGGGACGGGTCAACATCCCGCCGGGGTACCACTGTTCGGGCGGAGGTCGCTCCCGCGGAACCAGAGCCTCGTTTCGGCCGTACTCGTAGGGGTTACAGATAAAAGGCGTATCGTGGCCAGATGCATAAGGGGTCCTATGTTTGGGAGACCCGTACTGGCCGTTACAGTCCTCAGCGTACCTATGCGGGTACGCCCAATTGTCATTTAGTTCACGGGGCATCATCTCCGCCTTGATTTTGACATTATAGAGATTAACGTAATCCTCCACGGGGCCCGCGAACTCGCCGGACATCTCCGCGGGCTTCGCAAAGCTCTGGCTCGGTCCGTTTTCGAGCTCCGGTTGCACGAAATGGGCCATGCTCGCGGGCAACAGTTGTTCGAACTGGCACGAAGCCGCTCGCGTTGCGTCCATGCCCGGTGCTGTCGTCGCTGCCGTACCTTCTGAACTCAAGTTGGCAATGTCCCCGGACAAGCTGGCGAACTCATGCACACCCTGCACATCCGCGGTTAGGTGTGATCGAGACGCGCTGCTGCACTGCAAGGTCGTCACTTCACCTGCTAGCTGCTCCAGGTCGCCACTTTTAAACATCTCGAGCACTTTGTCCCTGCCTCGCAGCTCTGCGCCTCTGTCTCGTCCCGCCGTGAAAGCGTACTCTCTTTCTTTCCCTCCTGCTTCCCGTTCGCTCACTGAGCAGTTGAGCAAAGGCATTCCAAACAAATAGATGTCCTCACTACTACTTTTAGTGGTCAGGGGCGGCGGCGCATGGTGCGGTCCCACCTCGCCCAGTTCGCTGGACTCCATAGCTAAGCCCAAAGATACGGACACGGCTTTGCACAGCTCTCGCGTTGTCTCCGAGATGCTACTGCTGCTGGTGGTGGTGTTGTTGTTGTTGTTGCACGCGCGACTACTACTCGCCACTCTTGCGTCACGGTGCGAGTTAACTTCAGCCTCAGCGCAGCCCTTCTGTCCGCTCTCTGCGCCCCGAAGGAAACCTGCGCGACTGCCGCTGCTTTCGGTGGCGTCTGCGCGGCCCGAGCTTGACAAGGACGTGTCGCATTTACTTCCTGTTGAACTCCGCATCACTGAACTCGCACTCTCGCACTCTTTCTCGGGGCAGCATACTATTACCTTGCTGGGGGACAGCTTGCTTAAACGCATTTCCGTCGACGCGGTCTCCAGCAGGCAGCCGCGCTTCTTGGAGCTAGAAAAGTCCAAACTCTCGGCGTTGCTCTCTCTCGCGACGCGCACGTTTTGGAAAACGCTCTGGTAAGGTCCGTGAAAACCTGCGTCTGGGGACTCGCAAGCCTTCCCCGGAACCTCCAAAGTCTAGAAACAGTACAACACAGGCCGTGAGGGTTTAAAGGGGACTCACCGCAACAAGTTCATCGACGAAATCCTTGAAAAAGTTCCAGTCAGACAGACGCCAAAGAGCTGCGCTGCGCGAGACCGCGTAAGCAAAAATAATCAAACGAGCGCTCACGCTCGCCGGAGACTCATAGGCGGCTCTTAATAAACGTCAACGGAAAAGTTTTCCGAAAATGCACGTGAACAGCCTTCTGCTCTACAGAGCGTTATTCCGTCCCGCCGTATGCTCAAGTCAGACCTGCAGTCTACGCGCGTTGTCCATAAATGAGCTAATGAAAGTGAACCCTACAGGGGGTGGGAATTTCTCTCCGCCGCTCGACTTGTTTTCCGTCTACCTTGAGAACAAGCGATAAGATTTGAGCTGCCTGTTTTCAATGATCAGTCCGACTCCGAGCCGAGGCGGCGGTTACTACAATACCCTAGGCAAATCACAACATCCACACTTTCCTTTTTAAAGTACAATTAAAGCCCCATTCTCTCGTGTCAGGTACTCTCCTGGGCTCAGGCGCAGGTAATGCGGGGAGAGCCTGCTGTTTCACAGTGTTTTGCAGGGGTAAGCAGTTATTTTACGGAGAGTTCGCTCTCAAAGTCCTTGAGCGCTTTAACTGTCAGGACTAAATAATACAGAAACAAGAACGGCGCCAGTAATACGGGTAAATGAGAACACGCTACAAATACGAGCACGGGATCACAACTCATTTTCACTTAGTAAAATATAACACTGATGTATATATATCATAGGTTTAAAAAAGGTGAAAAATACAATAAAATCAATCAGCCCCATACAGTGCTCTATGGGAGTCTGCACGGTGCGCACGTTATAGGAGTTCTGGGCCTCTGTTCTGCGGAAATGTTTCCCATGACATTTATTACTGAGCACACATTAAATCCACCACGGGACTGTTAAATCCACAAAATTAGCCATTTGAAGAGCAAAATATAGGATGATGGCTATTTTTTTTTAAATGGGAGAAGGCTTAACCTTGCCAGAATAAATGTTCCTGTCTGGACATTTAATGTCAGTTAAATTAAATATGAAATTACATGTTTTTTATGTGCGTAATTTAATGGACTATTTTATTAAATGATAGAATTTAAGCTCAAATTAATGTAAGGTTAGATTTGTAAGCATTATAAACGCCCCAGGGAGAATGTAAATGTTTGAGTTGAGAATATGAAATATGGAAAATGTGACTAAATCAACAATAAAAGGAAATGAGAAAGAGTCAGAATGTGTTAAATAAATAAGCTCTGCATGAATAAATACATGAAATCACAATTTTTGCTTGGACTGTTGTTGCTTTGACAAAGGCAAGGCACCATTTTAGGTTTTCATTAAGCTCTAGAAGATGAGAAAACATCAAGACAATAATTATATCTACTAAACAGTCAGGTCCTGAGGTGTCTTCTCATTCACATCCAGCCATGAGGACCAGTTTGATCAAAAGACCATTATCATGAGTACTACAAGCAGTATTATTATTTTTCTAGAACTTTCACCAGTGCAATACTATCCTTTCAACCCTATCCTTTTTTATTCACTGTAACTAAATGTGACCTTTATTGTTCTCTTTGCCACAAGGCTCAGAAGATTTTAATGCTCCTCAGTGAGAATACAGTATTCATTACTAATCCCTGCTGTCAGTTCAAAATTAATACCAGTGTAACATAAACTCTTATGTTACAAGAAGAATTATTTCCTGGCATAAACTTTACCCTATTAAGAAGCGAGAGTTCAGAGAAGCACTTCACATGCAGCAAGCGTGCCATGTATGCAGTTCAGGAAAAGGATATTGCATTTGCAGTGCTTTATTGTCGTGAACCGTGTCTGATTTGGATGAAGAATGATGCAGTGAAGTGTTTGAGGTTATTCAGAATGAGTGGCTTTATTCAGAATGAATTGGTGAGCGGCTGTGGGAGGAGCTGAGAGTGAGGGACGGAAGTTGAGAGGGCTGTTTTGTTTTGGAGATTGCTGAGATGAAGGGAAAGTGCTCAGTTGCATTGTTTATCAGTGGAGGCTGAGTTTTGGTTATATCTCATCATCACATTTATTTGTTTATCATTAGGAACAGGCATTCTTCCCATCTCTTGCTGGTGCTGTTTTTTTATTCTTCTTTTGCTCTATCACATCTGTTTGAGTGTGTGTGTGTGTGTGTGTGTGTGCAGCACCTGTTGCTTAGTAACTGAAATTCCACATATACTCAGAGCATTACGGCAAAGTACAGCCCAAATACTCTGATTGAAAAAAATAAATGTTCTTGTATTTATTTAAAGTAATTTAGAAGGTTATGGAGGCCTGCTAATATTATGTTAAAAGAACATTCCAGGTTCACAATGGAAGTGAAAGGGTCAATCCTTACTGTTTCAAACATACAAGCATAAAGAATAAGCATGATTTTTTTATGTGGAAAAAATGTAAAGTAAAATTATATCCAATTTGACAACTTTGATGCCATGACAACATAATGCCTAAAAACTCTAAAATGATCATAAAAATAACAAGAACAACTTTACTGCTCAAATAAACAAGTTTCAACAGAATTAAGTGCTTTATAAAATTCTAAGCTTCATATTTCTGCTTTAAAAAAATTGGTCTCATTCATTTCCATTGTATGTGGTGCCTCACTGTAATTTTATTCCACATACACTGTTGGTTGATTGAACTTAACTTCTATTGTTTATGGAACATTCATTTAATATTTTCTTTGAATATTTTTAGATTTATTAGATAGATTAATTTAACCTTAGGCTGTCACCAGAATCAAGATTATATGAATCCTGACACGTGCAAATTAAAGTCTGTGTCTGTTTTGTGTTCAGTGATGAGCAAAACCTTTTGATGTACAGTTTTTCTCAATCGATTTGACACTTTTCTCCAATGCAATGTTGTTCTCAAAACAATTAGCACAGCCATCCAAACACAAAATTATCTTAACCAAACAGTTCAACTTTACTGCAAAATGAAGCACTGCAATTTTTTCTAGTAACGCATTTATAAAAAGTAAATATTAACATAAAATCTATAGGTGTGTTCTCTATTGATTATAAAACACATTCATCTGTAGATGCACAAATATGCTAATGAAAAGACATGTTTATTGCAATTCCTCAACAGGGAGTTTTGTTTTCTATATTACTGTGTAAATCTAAATGAAATAAAAATTGTTATCTAACACCTGCTATCAGCCATGAGAAAAAAAAAGCCCCTTTAAACTTAAAATCTGTGTGTGCCACCTTTAGCTGCAAGAACTGCAAACAAACTTTTCTGATAACTACAGATCAGTCTAATGACAAATGTCGAGAGCGCATTATTGTAGCGCGAAAGCACATAAATATAATGCGCGTGCACGAATCTCTCCGCTCGCACGCGGATTTCCTTTGCTCTCGCACAAAACCGGACGCGCGCGCTCAGATACACGCTGCTCTCGCCCAGAGAGAGTGCGCGCACTTAAAACGTGTCTCTCCTCTATCTCAAAGTGTGCGCGCTCAAACTGTCATTAAAATTACCCCATACTGTTTCCCCTTCAGTGCGTCTGCGCAAACATCAAGACAAAAATCGCGTCCTCATGATTTCGCGCATGCTCCGTACGGATCGTGTGCTTCTATCATCGCGTGTCAGTTTATAGTGTTTACACTCAGGGGCGGATCTAGAAAATAATTTTTAGGGTGGCAAAGGGGTGGCATGGGGTCTATGAGGGGTGGCAACACCAAAGCAAGTCCCCATGCATAGTTTTTTTATTTATGGTCTGACATACACAGTTGTGTTCACAAATATTTTATCACTATTAAGTAATAATCTATACTGTTTAAAATGAAAAATAAATAACAACATTTCAATATCCATCATGGCACCAAGTCAATACACAACATAAAAAACTTCAACAGGTTATAAATGTTTCTGAGCTTGTATCACTAAAGAAGACATGCGGTTCTATTAAAATTACATAGGCTACTTAGATGGTATAATCACATTTAGTGCAAGTTTAAGAGCAACAAAAACTTTTGAATTTACAGACATTAGATAAAAATACAGTAATACCAAAGCACTGAAACTGGATCAGTTTTGAAAATAATGTTTGATTTTCTGTTATTAACAGAGGTGGGAATGTCTGTAATCACCAAGAACAAACTCTATCAACCATATATAATCTAGCAACACCCCAGCAACTGCATAGCAAGAGCTAGCTTTTTTCAACTGCTTACACACATTTTCAAAACTTTGCCTCTTTTTTTTCAAAACTTTACAGTTACACACAAATCCAAAAATTGCACACACAAAATGCAAAATGCCTCACATCTCTTGCAAAACGAAGCACTGCATTTAAAATATCACAAACACATCTCAAAAGCAAACATTTGCAAACACCTTTGCCATAATATTAATTCCTGTTAGATTTTTGTGTGTTACATAGAGAATTGTGTGTTGTGTTTTGCAAAAAGTGATTTATGAAATTGAAAACGGAGTCAAAGGTCAAGAATTAGTGTATGGTTTTGGAGATTTGGTGTGTGCTTCTGGTGTTTGAGTGTCAGCTTTCAGAAATTGTGTGACAAGTAAAGATTTTGTGTGCAAGCAGTTGAAAAAAACTGTAAATGCTTACAATTCAAATACACAGATGACTTTCCTGCCCAGTGAACACTGAGATCAATAACACCGTAACCCAGGGCTGTACGTTAACTTTTTTTTCACATAGCACTGGTGCTACAGAGGTTGAAAGTTTTGTAGCACAGGCCAAAAAGTTGTAGCACAAGTATAAAACGTCTGTTATCATGTCTGAAAACAAACACAAGTAATGGAGTTCATCACTTAAACAGGCACTGATGTTCCATACAGAGCACAAAAAATACAAACCATCACAAAAATTGTTTTAGACAAAGTTTTCTTAATTTGCTAAAAATGGAAGAGT